TGAGGAGAAAAAAAGCATTGGGCATGAAGAATTTGTGAAGATGTCTAGGGAGTTGTTGAGACCGACTGCATCCTTGTCGGTGAGTGTAGATTTAATTAGCCGGACAGAAGTTGAGAGGTTACGACAAGTCTTGCGCTTATGGCCCCGTAAAATGATAGAGCTCGAGATCAGATTCAAGGTATGTACATTCGGACTCATGACTCTTAACACTGATTAGGTCTTGATTTGCTTAACTAAACATAACTCATGGGCATTGATTGTTAGGATAACAATGGTGATAGGGAAGAAAATGAGTGTTTGTGGGGGGGAGAATAATAACAAAGATCCGTTCCCCAATGCTGAATTCCGCGTGGGTACTGTGTGGATGTATAACTTCAGCGGTTCAGAGGAAGAGTTTGCGTTGGCGTCGTGTTTCATTAGGCAAGGGACGGTGGTAAACAAGATGATGATCAGGACGACATCATTTCCTGCAAAGAAGAAGTTAAAGATTGAAGCGGCAGTGGCCAAGCTAGAGGAACTTCAAACAGAAGATCAGTGGGAGGAGCTCACCATAAAATGTTTCTAATTGAATTTGAAGATCAAAGTATTGTAGTTAAAGCACACTCGTCTCTTACTCTCTCAACTTTCTCTTCCTCTGGTTACAAGAACTCTAAAATGTGTAGGCTATGAGAGTTGGTGTTGACAGGCTGAATCTAAGACATTTCTAACCCCACTCTAAATCATATTCTAGAATGACCAAATCATATTCCAAAATGAGTTTTGGAGTAAAATTATCTTCAAATCCCACTCCAAAATGGAGTAAAAGATAGGTTTACTCCAAATATAGAATAATCTCATTTATCACTCTATTTTTTTGTTATTCACTCTATTTTTTACTCCAAAGTGGAGTAAGGTTGCAGTAAAACACAACTCTGTTTTAGAGTCATTCCATTTTAGAGTAAAAAATGGAGTTTTGGGTTGGAGATGGTCTAAATCACCCAAATTTTAAAGCGCATGTAAG